GAATGTATTGTATATTGTAGTAGCGTTGTTCCCTGACAGCTCGTTACTTTCATTCCACAATCAAAGTGAAAACATAAGATAATTTTGTGAATTTGAAGCATAAATATTTACGAATAAATATTATTTTGTGAAATGGCGAAACGAAAATGTGTTTTCAACGATAATTTTAAGAAAAAATATCATTTTTTCAAAGCCACTTATGACGATTCCAACGTTCGTTGGGGCAAATGTAATGCAACTTTTTCGGTTGCTGCTAGTGGAAGAATGGTATTGATAATCATTTGAAGACAAAGAAGCACAAAGTGGCTACAAATGCTTCTTTTCAAACTTCAATCATATCAAATTTTTTCATCGGAGGGAAACCAGATTTGAATGTATCGATGATAGAAGGCTTGTGGGCGTACCACACAATTGACACGACACAAAAAATAATTTAAAAAACAGCAGTTATCGTCCGATTCAAATTTTTTTTAAACTTTTTATTGTAGGTCAAACGATTACGTAACCAAAATATTTCAAACATGTTTCCAAATAAAAAAATATTCGCGATAATAACCAATGTTTTTGCACCATACACATTAGAATGCCTTAAGTCTAATTTATAGAAAGCCAGATTCATTTGTTTGTCGAGCGACGCTTTCAATCGCAAAGCAATCAAGCAATTTCCTGTCGTCATTCGTTATTTTCTTCCATTATCTGAAGTAAATGTTAAAATAATTGAACTTTCACAAGAATTTGGTAAAACGTCGGATATGATTTTTTCATTGATAAAAAGAGTCTTGGAAAATTTTGATTTGACTGATAAATTGATCGCTTACTGTGGTGAAGGAAATTTTTTTGCAAAATTTAAGAAATTAAAAGCGAACATAGTTTGGTTGCACATCTCATATCGTGCATAATGCAATTGGTAACGCATGTAATGCACTTCATGTTGAAATAGAGAGCATTGTTGTGCAGGTCTACACATATATTTACATCCACACCATTCGCACAGAAGCATTAAAATCAATCTCCGAGATTTCTGAATACGGTCAACTGGTTGGTTACTGCAAAACTCTATTGATTGGCTTAAGAGAAGCTTTGGGGAAAAATATTCGAATGTTAAAACCTTTGAAAACTTGTTTTGACGACCTTGCTTCACCCCTCAAAAAAGCCAGATGGATCCGCCATTTTTTTCAGTAGTCTACTATCGAGGCTCTAGTTCGTTTTTGTTCATGAACAGGTGAAAATATAGTTTTATTAACCCTGGAAGGTCGCCGTTATTTTTAAATCGTAAAAGACATCATTCGTCGATTCGACTACGCCAATTCTAAAAGGCATGTTTAAACTAACCTGTGCATCAAAACCCACAAAATTTATTAATTTTAGATTATCATGTTTATATTATTTCAAAATAAAACAATATTAAGTGGTTTTCTTTAGTATTTTAATTATAAATTTAAATTTCACAGCTCTGATTCATTCGGCTTGTTGTAAGAAATATAACATTGAAAATAAAAGAATTGAAGTACATAAAATTTGTTTAATGTGTTTTTTTCTAAAAAATAATACTATAAACTAAAAAAGGAACATGTTTGCATTTTGTGTAAGAGACACAGAGCTCTATTATATGATGATCACATGGTGATTTTGTCATTCGTCGCTTAGCAGGGGGCACAATGTGTATATATATTTTTTTTTAATATTTCGCTTTTTATTTCTTGATTGTTTTTATCAACAGTAATAACATTTTCAATAATCGATCCCAGCGACGTAGACAATATTGTCTTTTCAAGTCTATCTCTCAAATGACGTTCGACTAGTGAATTTTTCCATAATAGCTGGGCAACTGAGAGGTTTTTTTCTTATTTGAAACATATTATATAAATATAAAAGCAACTATTTATAAAAGCTATGTTCAACATGCCAAAAATATGTACAATATTTAGACCATAGCGAGTGACTTGCCTTTTTGCGTTGCCCACTTATGTTTATTTTCCCACGCAAAATAATTTTCTTTAAACTAATTATTTTCGAATTGGCTTACAATAAATTAATTAGTATGTTTTCTTCATCTGTGTCGGTTGAATCTTCTGACAAACTTGCGTCCTCGAAGCTTTCGTTCTGTTCGATCTCTGCTTCAGATTCCAATTTTGTTGTCTTCTTCTTCGCATAGTTTATACTCATCGTCACACGTTGCCAAAAATGTTTCAATTTCTTCGTCAGTATAAAGTTTGGAGACACTCATTTTGTATTAAAACTTGAAAAGCCAAATATATAAACAAAGAAATAAAATTTGAGAAAATCACTTTGAAACAAAAAACTTATAGAAAGATCATCATTTCGCAGCCTATAGTTGAGACTAACAATCAACCGATGACAACGCCCCAGGCCACCACATCCCAACGACGTGCCACCAGCCCTGCAGAAATACGCACCGCTACACGTCCCCGAAAGAGAGAAGCCGAACAGTGGAAAACAGTGATGCCGAAGAACCCAAGAAAACTCGACGAGCGTCAAAAATAGACAAAGTGCTCAGGAAAGCCAATAGAAAAGGGCAACGCCAAAATCAGGCCAAAAAAACTATCGGAAGCTGTCATTATTAAGCCAACAAAAGAAAACAGCTACGCAGATGTCCTCATTGATATCAAAACGAACTTAAAATAAACAGAGGAGAGTCAAAATTGGATGGATCAGCTGCAGACTACGATTAAAGGAGACTATTAAAAGATGTTTCCGTTGCTTCGGACCAGGACATCTGTCCTGGGATTGCAAGGGACCAGACAGAAGAGGGCAAGGTATATGTATAAAATGCGGCCAACCGGGACATAGGCTTAAAGAGTGCAACAAGCTTCCAACCTGCTACATATTCACAACAGAAATGTATAATCTTCACGCCGCGAAGAAATAACTAAATTGGGCTTTCGAAAAAGCAAATTGGAAAGATCTTCTGAATGACTTAAACATAAACCCGTGGGGTCTAGGGTATAAGGTCGTTATGAAACAACTAGGTGGTCGGGAGACCACGAAGAGAGAATGCTGAAACCGCAGATAGAGGAAGCAATCACGACGGCAGGCGGCTCATCACCGAAGAAATACGGCTTCAGATCTGGTAAATCAACACTGGGGGCTATTGAGAATGTCGTGAGGAGCGTAGAAGAAGCTCACAGAGGATGCAATAAACTCAGACGAGTTGTTTTAGTCGCCACTCTTGACATTCGGAACGCCTTCAACAGCGCTCGATGGGAAAACATGATTGAAGCATTAGAGGAGAACTTTAAAATACCCACATATCTCAGCATAATGTGGAGGAGCTATTTGGAAGACAAAGTTTTGCTGTATAAAACCTCTGAAGGACCACGACACTTGAATGTCGCGTCAGGAGCTGCGCAGGGATCAATCCTCGGCCCAGACCTCTGGAACGTCAGTTACGACGGCATATTAAGCCTCGATATGCCCGACGATACCTATCTAGTTGGCTACGCAGACGACATCGCCGCGATAATCACTACAAGACACACCGAAGATGCGCGCAGGAAGTTAAACCAGGTGATGATTAGAGCTCAAATGTGGCTTGATGCGAAAGGTCTCAAACTTGCCTCTGAAAAAACCGAGCTGGTACTGCTAACAAAGAAGCACATTCAGACTATAATAGACATAAGAACAACAACAGTAACATTAAGGTGACAAAAGGTTGTCAACTACCTGGGGGTAATAATAGACTCCAGGCTTACCTACTGGGCACAAATTCAACACGCTGCGGAGAAAGCGTCCATAATAACTAGTCAATTGAGCAGACTGATGTCTAATATCGGAGGACCGAGACAGGAAAAACGGAAACTATTGATGTCGACAACACTAAATGTTTTGCTCTACGGAGCAGAGTTATGGGCAGACACATTGATGAAAAATAATCGATGCAAATCCCTCGAAAAAGTGTATCGCACAGCTGCTTAAGGGTAGCATCGGCATATCGCACAGCATTTGAACGAAAGGAAATGTGGACATTGAAGAAACAAGGAACATATACTGCCGCTACAAAAGAGGAAACAAAGAGCGACACCTTGGAACAATGGCAAGCTCGCTGGGAACAAGGACGCCACGGCAGATGGACGGCCAGGCTAATCCGAAACATAAAAGAATGGTCTAACAGGAAACATGGTGAGGTGGATCTTTACACTACTCAGATGCTATCCGGACATGGATATTTTAGGAAGAATCTATATAAAATGGGAAAAATCGAAGAGCCATCCTGTATATACAACGACGCGAGCGAGGACGACGCTGCACACACATTTTTTAAGTTCACACGCTGACAAACGCAGCGAAATAGGCTCCACATTTTGCTCGGCCCCTTGAATGCGGATAACATCATACCTATCATGCTTCAACACGAGGAAAACTGGAAGAACGTGAAACATTATATAGAAAACGTACTACGGATTAAAAACGGGATCTGGACGCAGGTAATGACATAGAAGTCTTAAAACGAGAACTATGGAACGCCACCCTGAAATAATGCGAAAGCGGTTCCAGGGTGGCCGACGGTTCCCTAGAGGAGAGTTTTTTAGTAACCTGCAAGTGGCACATACCATTGCTGTGACGACACAATAACAATAAAAAAAATATCGTGTCTTACATAGTTACTAGTGGTTCAAACCTCTTTACAAGACGGATATAACCAATTCACTACTACACTCGTAAAGTTTTACGTCTTACAGCACTACATAACCACATCTAACTTTTTGTTTTTAAATGAAAAAATATGTTGTAAGAAGAGAAACATCTATGAAACTGGACAGTAGAATGTACAAAAAAGAGATGTACATATAGACATTCATGTTTGTAAGCATGTGCGGCGTGATGAGAAGAATGAGCGTGTAAACATAATAAATTCTTGTTCGTCATACATGTGCGATGGTTTTTAAAAAATTTTTAAAACATGATGTTGTTATAAACATGTTTTATGGTGTAAACGCTTGCATCATGCACGCAGTATATTTTTTCAGTCGTAAGCAAACATTGAAGCGTAATGGCGTCACGGATGAACGAAGAACTGTGGAAGGACTTCTTTGAAATTTATCGAAGCTCTTTTAAAAAATATAAGGAGATAGATCCAAAGCAAAGTTGGAAAGTTTAAAATGTAAAATGAACTCACTTCGCGGATGTTATCGACGTGAATTAAAAAAAAAGCGAAGTGAGAAGTCTGGAACAGGAATTGATGAAATATATGTACCATCTTTGTGGTAGTTTCATGACCTAGCATTCTTGGAAGAGCAAGAAACACAGATGACTGGCATGTCATCAATAGAAAATGGAGACACGACTGTGGAAGACGTAAGTAAAACGAACAGGACATTTTTATTAATTTATGCATATATTTTTATTTATAAAACGAAATGCAAAATTACATTTATCCGACACCATTAAAGTATTCACAAAATGAGTTTAGAATTTCCTTGGCGTTGGTAGTACTCTTCCGACTTGTGTAAATAGCAAATTGCTAAAACAATTTTCCTTGCCTTTTCGGGAGATAAATGTATTGTAGTCAGCAGTATTCTGAATTTGGAAGATATAATTCCAAACGCGTTTTATTCAACCCTTCTTGCCCGTGACAGACGATAGTTATATTGTTGTTGATGCTGAGTTAGACCACTTTGGCTGTAGGGCTTCATAAAATGTTCACTTAGTGAAAGCTAAAAGCGTCGTCTGCTACAAAAACAAACGGCAGCTCTTTTTCAAAACCAGACGGTTTTGTTGGGGAAGGTATTTTCAATTTTCCGTCATCATGCATAGCCGAAAATATCGTATTTCCGAAAACACCACCATCGGAAACTCTTCCGTTTGCTCCAGCTTTCACCATTATAAATTCATATTTTGCATTGACTATGGCCATCAAAACAATACTGTAAGTCTTCTTATAGTTGAAATAGTATGCTCCAGAGTGCTGTGGTTTCGTAATGTTTACATGTTTTCCATCGATAGCGCCAAGGCAATTCGGGAAATTCCATAGTTCATAAAATTCAGAAGCTATCGTTTTCCATTCTTCTTCACTTTTCGGCATCTGGAAAGATAATAGTTTTTATTTTTATTTATTTTTTTCAGAATGCACCTTGCGCAAAAAAAGACAAAGTAGAATTTGGTAAAAAAGAAAAACAACAGTTGCTCATTAAAGCAGTCAAAGCTTTAGAAGATTCGACGTGGCCCAATGACGATGCAAGTACCTTCAGTTCGACTTGGGAGGTCCTCTTCAGGAAACTTGACCCTAATCAACAATTATTTGCCAATAAAACCAATATGGAGGTGTTGTACCAAGGAACTTTGGGTCGGTTGAACGAAAATTCCCATCAGATGTTCAACGTACCTAACACAAGATGTTCATCAACACCTTTTTCTTATAGTGACAACTCGTCAACATGTTTTCATTCAAGAACATTGCAGCCTCAAGTTCAGCATATCAGACTTCATAGAACAGTTCAGCCACAGCAATATCAAAAAATTTCCAGCATCAACATACAACCACAGGAAACCATAAATACTCAACAATACGGAAACAGCACGGAATATCAGACATTTACGGACTTGTTGAACGACTCTGAATATTCATAAGCAAACTTTTCTTTTTATTTTTGTTATTTTTATTGATTTGAACAAATATTTTATTTTTGTTTTGTTTTCCATTTTCATGTCATGTATATACTAACTGAAATAAGATCTTTAAGAACCTTAATCAACGCTTCACATGTCTCAATAATTATGTTGCTTAAACTTGCAGTTGAAATATACGACTGGAATTTCAAACTTTCGTAGCTCTCTCCAGTTGAAATTGCGTCCCGCATAATAGTATTTTGTTTTTCTATATAAGGTGTTAATTTTCCAAAAGTTTCCTATATACAGAAGGATCCATTCGCAGAAAATTTTTGTAGTCCGCCGGGCTGGACTGTTCAAGTTCCTTTAACAAACTTATATATGAAAAAACTGTTCTTCTTGATCGCCATTCCTTTACCCAAGTTTTTCTCTGTCTTTTTTGCTTTTTTTTTGTTCTACTTCGTCTTCTTCTAAAATATAATATCAATTACAAGTGCTGCAACTAATGCACGTGCCATGTTGCTTCGTTGACAAATAACAGAGAAATAAAGTATGATTGCATGTTCAACCGCTTAAACGAAAACCAGTTTTTTTTTGCATCATACCGCTATTGAATCTGCCATTTGAAGAAAAATTTGAAGAGCGTACGGTAAGTTGTGAATTTTTCTTTATTGAAAATTTTCATAAATGTTTATTAAATTAAACTCTTTTTAAAACAGGAAAGAAGCAACCGAAGACCATTGTGATAGAACATAAATGATAATAATTTTACAAAGAGTTTATATGTACATACATATATGAAAAGTTTATGGTGAGGAACCAATTTGATAAGTATGATTATGTTAAAAGTTTTACAATATAATATCTTAAGTATAATATACTAGGATAATATATTATGTACTAAAATAATATGAATCTCTTTGGGTTTATTGATTGCGAGTTGATTGGATTGCAGTTGAATTCAATTAATACTAAAATGCCGGCAAAACAGGTATGTACATTGTAGGGCTTTGTTAATTAAATTTTTTTAGATTTTGTAATAAGTCAATGGGTTCGTTATCATTATTTATGTCACAAGTGTAAATACTGTAAAGTGAAAGAATCGTATGAAATTTAAAACTGTGATATATGGAAATATATAATATTGTGATAATTGTGATATAGGTATGACGATGCGGAAGGCATTTTTCTCAACCTCCCCCGGAAAAAAAAGTGAAAAAATTAAATGGAATTTAGAAGTTTGTTATGTGGAAAGTATGTGTGGTTGTCATCTGATTTCACCCATTTTCACAGTGTATGGTAGGAATATTTTCGTTATCTCACGCAGAATTTTGTTGAAATTGGTCAAGTAGTTCATGAGATATAGAATTTCACCTAAAGATGCCACGACCGTTGCCTAATTTTTACACCTGCTTTTATGAAGCCCTTCCTTACCATCTTGATCTTCTTCTCAGCAAGTTTGGTTTATTTATCTTCAGCGTAGCCACGCCCACTTTTAACAATTTTTAGCCCAAAAATGTTTCTCACAACGAATCGCAGCCTTTACTAAATTACAGTTTTGTATCTTAATTTAGTGCTTAGTTATGATTTAACGGTTTAATGGCGTTTTGTGGGGGTGGCAGTAGTCTGATTACACTATCTGCAATACCGACCCCCTTGGGTGCCAAGGAACATACATATACATATATATATGTATGTAGCAAGTTCCATAGGTAGGAAGTGTATAAAACCCAAAGGAAAATATGCAATACCCCAAGAGCCCTCATTTTAGGAACAAATGTCAAATGAACAGTTAATTCGGAATGTCTATTGCGAAGAAAAAAAAAACAAATTGAACAAAATATTAAGGTTTTTTTTTAATGCGACATACTTCAGAAAACCTGAAAAAATTAATTTAATGTTATGGTTGAAAAAGCCGCTTTCAATATACTACTTCTGGATGCTGTGAAACGCTTAAAAAGAACACAAAGCGAGTATGTTTGTTCCTTTTATGGATTCTTCTGGACATCAAAAGGTCTTGCGTCCTTAAACCCGGATTTTTCGGACTTTGAACGTTTCATGTCAAAAGATCTATTTTCTTTATTTATATAATATGAATTCAGAAGAAAGGCATATCGGTTTCTTTTTTCTAAAAGCGAAGAATGAAAAATCACATTCTTTGCTCGGTCGATCCCTTTCTCCTATATTTCTGACTCTATGGTATTGCTGAATTTGATGTTTGATCAACAGAAATTTGCAACGTGCAAAATTGAAAAGCAAAGTTAGCTCGAATCAGTCAACACTAAAGAAGCAGTAAGTATCCTTATGTGTTTTTAAGTATATATTACAGTCGAATGGAAGACATGTTAAAAAAAGTAACTTCCTGCTATTTAAAAAAATATTATGTCAACAAAACCGATGCGGAGAATTAGACAAAATGACAAAAGATAATTAATTGAATTGGGAGCTTTTGCGAGATTTAGATGTTGGGCCAAAAGTAACTGTAGATTTAAAACGATCCCCAATTCATTGTGTGACAATCTGACAAATCTTGAGATCGATTTCTTCCGTGAAAAAAGCCGGCAATTTTGCATAACTTTGGCTATCAGTTGATGCATGCCCTTGCTTTTTTAGATCCAAATAATTTGTCGCAAACGCTACATATTACAAAAGTAGCTTATTTTTTTAGATTCGATCTAGGAAAAACTCACAACGAATCCACAGCAGTATTTCACTGTCATTAATTTATATTGTTTCATAAAGAAGCAAACCTTCTGAATTTCTGCGAGAATGTCGCTGCTGGAACACTAGGTGACGGTTCCCAAGAGTTTTGACTAGTAAATGTAACAATTATAGACCTCAATATTTTTAAAGAATGTAATAAAACTTTTTTTTTTGATCATTTAAATGTTAATATAATAAGTTATATACATGTAAATGAAAGTTGAAAAGATGTGAGTCGGATCTTTCCGCATTTTTTAACGCCTTGCTCTACCACTTTCACTTCAATGTACGGATTTACAGCGCGGAAGATGTGGCAACACTACCCTGTTGCAAATGAAAGACAATAAATCGTTAATAGTTTACATGGGTCTCGCCGAGCAACGAAGGGCCTATTTTTAATAAATTTTTTTTCATATTAAAAATTAAATATTTTATTCAAACTTTTTATTATTCCAAAGATACATATTTTACAAAGATTTTGTGAAACCTTCAAAAGAAGTTCCTCGGAAAAAAGATGCCTCCGCGATGATAGCAGAACTTCTACAGAATCATCAAAAGTAAAAGGAACACAAGTAAGGAAAGGCAAAGTTCGGCTGTAAACGAACATTTCATACTCTTGCAACTTGAAAGAAGTGAAACCAGGGAAATACGGTCAGGTGCATAAGGTTTGTTAGAACAACGAAAATCAATTTGTAGACCAATTTCACATATTTTCGGCATTAAACTATAGTATATCCAAAATTATACGTTCACTAAATTTTTGTAAGGTATCTTACTTATTTGCCGATATATGGGATATAAAGGCAGCCGATAGTTCGAAAAGCTTTCTATTACGTATATGAGGGGTGAAGGAATTCTTGAATAGAATTTAAAATTGTGTTATATAACCTGGTTGTAGACCGATTTCGCCTATTTTCGCACTGAAACATAGGAAAGTGAAGATAATATTACATTAAAAAAATGTATCATACACCAAATTTATTTCTGAGAGTGACAGTCATATACGATACTGCAATCATTTTCAAACACACTTTTGGCTCAAATTAAAGACACCAAGTGGACAAATTAAAGAAACATTTTCTACATTACCAACTTACGTTGAGGAGAATTCAAACCAATACCTTAATTCACAAAGGATATACTTCCCCCCATATAAACATAACATAATAAATAACAAATACTCCCAATTCGATACAGTGATGCACCTAGACTTGCAAAAAGCAAAGGTCGCACTTATTGCATCTATTTAAGCGCTCCTCATATGGATGGTTTATGGAAATAAACTGTAAAAAGCTTCAAAATAATTATACAAATTGTGAACATTATTAACACGAAATTAAGCCGTTCTTAATTCACGGCGATTCATTCTAGCCATATCTTAGCCAGACGAGGAGTCGCTAGCCTCAATAAGCCCATAATAAAGAAATTGTAAACAACCGCCAATAAATCTAAAAAACATAAAAAACGCGTATACATATACTATAACAATAAGTCGTGAAAATAATAAATCAACAAATATGCAAAATAAAAATTGATTTCTATATGTGATGTTATACACAGGTATAACAGGTTTTCAACATGTCGTCGATAAAGTTCTGGTTAAACGCTTAACCATATATTGAGAAAACGACCCTAAAAGATCAAAAGTGAATAAAATATTTTCAAGAAGAAAATAAGTAATTTTGTGGAAAAATTTAGCCTCCGACCGTTTAAAAAGGACCGTTGGATGCAGTCAAAAATAAAGAAGGTAATTTTATTTATTTCAATATAATACTAAATGTTAAATTCAGACGCTTAGACGGGGACTCATTATCAATATATTAGGTTGGCCGTTATTTCCCTTCCGCTTTTTTGTCTTTTGAATTTCGCGGCTATGTACAAAGCGCTACAGAGCTTTCAATTTCCACAATAAACTAAAGTTAACATTCGAATTACATGCGCATTTTTATTTTATGCCATCGTGTGGGTGCTACCTAATAAAGTTAACATAAAGTGCTGTGTTCTTAGCAATATATTGGGCTCAAATATAAACATAGTACTTTGAGCATTACCGAAAGGCACCTCGGAAAATACACATGATAGAAGTGAATACTTTTTATCGGTTCATTGAGAGTGAGAGTGAGAAAAAGAGTTATATTGTACATATTACAGGGATAATCGAAATAATATTTGGTACACACATTTAATATTTATTTTATTTCCTGAATTTGTACATTATATTCTGTCGGAGCAGGTATAGCTATAGCGAATATTATGCCTTTATGGTAACTGAAGTATGAAACATATGTTCATGATTCTAAATAGTGCAATTTCTAGTGAATAGAGTTCGTTCTTCCTGATTTAGTCGCGGCAACTTTCCGGTCGTTATTCATATCTATACCGAGTTTTTCACGAAGAAAGTGAAGTAGTGGCAAGGACGCAATATCCGCAAAATTTATATTAAAGTGACTACCGAGAGTTCATGGTATGTGATCATCACCCCTGCTAAAAAGAGTAGCACCGCCATGAGTGTATATAACCAACGAACTCTGTATGCAATACCTGATATCCTCAAGTTTTATTTGAGATATGTAGATCGTTGCAATGACAAGTTCTTTTCCGTTGGATATTTTTCATTTACTCAAGCTGATATCGCCAATTTCAATCAAAGGAATTATATGTGCAGTAGAATATATTGCACTCATATCATATCATATTCGTATCACTGCATGTATGAGATTCTCGGAGCTCGAAGACTTTAGCACTCAACGGTGTACTTATATTGATAACTTTTTCTTTGGCGAATAAAATCAAGTATTTGTTTACCAACGAATGTTTTACTATAAACAAATAATGTAAGTACATTTTCGAATTAACAAAAGTGTTTAAGTTTTGTTTAGAACTCATATACTTTCTACTTGTAAGTTTCTTCTTCTTAGATCAAAAGAATTTCGTCTCAAGATGGCGGCTGGCAAATCTTGCATTCTATCCTAATTGATTCCATCATGATCTGTTATCGTAACTTTTAACCTTTTCATTCAAATTCTTTTCATTGTTGCAAGGGCGTCGGTTTCAAATGGTATGTAATAGAATAATAGAAATATTTTGAAGAATGATTAATAAGAATAAAAATAAGAAACTCTAAAATATTTATTTTAAAAATTTCATAACATTTAGCATTATTAAACCGAATTACTTTTATACCAATCGTTACTTGCCTAATGTGGAATGTATAGTCGCAAATCGCTTGTATTTTTACAGAATATTGACGTTTACGCGAATAGTAAATTTTATGCTGCATAACTGGAGTTTCGGCTAATTTTATTTCGGAACCATCGAAGTAGCCTACCCACCTTGGCATTTCTTTGGCAGTTGTAGATGCAATCTCCAGCTTCCTCTCATTGGGCCGGTATAAAACTCATTTTTAATCGCAATATGGTTTTAAAAGGCGTTGGTTACATTTTAATAGTGCCTCCATTATCCACACGGACTAAGAAGCCACTTTGTGAACAGATTGTTCATCGTCGGAAGATCCCAACCGATATGGCACTATTTTGAGTTGCTATTCGATAGAAGTTGGTACACTAAAACTTGTTTTAAAACAGCGTAATTTTTAATTAATTCTAAGATTCGCATTCCTCCGGTGAAACACAAGTATCTGATTGAATTTGCTTTAGCCAAGATTGCTTAACACATTTCGCATTGCTTCTTCGGTTTCTCAGCAAAGAACTCATGCTGATTGAAAATTTTCAATGGCTTCGTCTTCTTTCTCACCTGCCAAATTGTGAATATTTGTATTGAATGAAGAAATGTATGCAAATACTTACTTGATTCAACTCTAATAAAGTCAGTGCAAGGTTTTCACATCAAAATCCATAATTTATTTTTGCCCTTTCTCGTGCCATTTTTCTATTCTTAATTTTTACTATCAGCTGTAGTGTAGAAATATTACAGAAAATGACATACAACGATTAAGGGTGTTCATAAGTCTCGTATTTTTAAAAACAATTGAAATACGACATAAGACATACGACAAAGATTGTGAATTGCCTATATGCTTATTTCACGAATTAAAAGTGTTTACTCCTTTGTTTACAATTTTAGGGTCATTGATTAGTTTTCATGCTTCTTCTTCTCAACTCAAAGAATTACGCCGCAAGATGGCGGCTGGCGTAATCTTGTATTCTATCATTATTGGCTAAGATGTAATTAATTTATATATACAATTTATCACAACAAATAAATAAACGCTTCTAAGTACACAATAACAAACTTCAAAGATTACGATTAAATACTATCACAATATATTGTACTGTAATAGTTCAGGCGTAATGAACATCAGCACCCTGTCTTACCTATAACTTACCGACTGTACATAGGAGATATAGTGTACAACGGTGCAAGAGGAAAGCTGAGCGGGGCGTCGCATGCCCTATGTCTAATCATATAGTAATGTTTCGTTCAATATTCATCGAATGTATTTACGAAATCGACTGCGATTTTGCCAAAAGGTCTTAGGACCTTTTGCAGGAATAAATGAATAGCTGTGCAAATTTTCAAGTCTTTCCGTGCTTGGTTCGGACATTCTCTGATTACATAACGAATAGCTATAGTAATATTTTCATTTTTATTTATAAGATATCATTAGCATATTTTTGGGTGGCGTTTGTTGTGTGGATCAGAGACTGCTGAGGTGCACTGCAACATCAAGTACAACACATGCTTACTTTTATACTCTCGCAACCTGTTGCTACAGAGTATAATAGTTTTGTTCAGCTAACGGTTGTTTGTATCACCTAAACTAATCGAGTTAGATATAGGTTATGTATATATAAATGATCAGGATGAAGAGACAAGTTGAAATCGGGTGACTGTCTGTCGTCCGTCCGTCCATGGAAGCTCTAACTTGAGATATATTTATGAAACTTTGTTGACATATTCTTGGTACCGGGAGACGGTTTGTATTGCGGATGGGCGTAATCACACCACTGCCACGCCCACAAAATGCCATTAATCAAAACAAATAAATTGCCATAACTAAGCTCCGCAATAAGATACAAGACTGTTATGTAGAGGTTCCAAAACATTTGCTTCCATGAATTTTGTTATTATAGCTTTAGCGGTTAGAGATATGCACATTAAACCTATTAGGGGCGGACCACGCCCACTTAAAAATTTTTAACTGCAGATGCCCTCCCTAATGTTATTCTGTGTACCAAATAACAGTCTTGTATCTATTGCGGAGCATAGTTATGGCAATTTATTTGTTTTTGATTAATGGCAAGACGGTACCAAGAAACATGTCTACCAAGTTTCATAAAGGTACTCAATTTTACTCAAGTTAGAGCTTGCACGGACGGATGGACGACAGACAGTCACCGGATTTCACCTCTCTCTTCATCCTGATCATTTATATATATATATAACCCTATATCTAACTCGATTAGTTTTAAGTAATACAAACAACCGTTAGGTGAACAAAACTATTATACTCTGTAGCAACAAGTTGCGAGAGTATAAAAAAGGCCCTACATATATATATATATATATATTTTTCAAAAGAATTAGAAAATTTAACAAATAAAATGTGCACATTTCGTTCGCGCCAACCTATTCAGTCAACTGCATTGTAAAATCTCCAAGTAACAAACCTTATAGTTCAAACAGTCACCGACGCAAAATCGTGGACCTTATCAGCTGATTATGCGAGTGCAATGTAAATGAACATCACCACCGCTTCTACCGTCCGCTTCAACAGACCCGT